AGGACCCTTTTTATACCTGAAATTTGTTATATGCAAGGTAAATTCACTGTTATATGATTGGCATAGGCGCACTCCACCCTCTCTTTAGTGGGGAAGTCTGTGAGTTTGTGAGGGGAGGGGAAAGGGCTGTGAGCAGAGGGCAGAGGTAAGGGGAGGGGAAAGGGCCATTGGGTCAGGGCCCCACTCACTGCAGCACCTGCTCTGGGAGCAGCTGATGCCAGCGGCTTTCAGCCACCAGGCTGCCCTGCGCCCTGAACCCTCTGGGGCTCCGCTTCTGCTGGGGTACTGTGCCCTGAACCCCCCAGCATGGTGTAGCCCAGGGCCTGCAAGTAGGTGGCATCTGCCATTCCCAGGGCTGCAGCAGTGGGACAAGAGTAGGCTGGGGCTGGCAGCCACAGCAGGTGGGGGCTGGCGGCAGCACTAGGCTCATTCCAGCACTTGGGGTGGGCTGCGGTGATGGGAGGGATGCTGCTGCCACCCCAAAATTTGCCATAGCACCTCCCAGCACCACTCCCGAGCACTGGAAAGAGCCTGGTGCCACCACCGGCCCCAGCCTGCTCTTGTTCCACTGTAGGCTGCTGCCCACCCTTGCTCCAGCCCTGGGAGCAGCAGGTGCTGCCTGCTGACAGCTGCTGGGTTGTGCCGCACCAGGTGGTTCAGGGCATGGTGCAACCCAGCAGCTGCAGGCAGCTGGTGTTAGCCACTCCTGCAACAGATTCAGCAGGGGCTGCGGTGAGTGAGGAGAAGTGGAGCAGTGGGGTGAGTGGGAAGAAGCCGGATGAGTGGTGCTGCTGCCCACCTCGAGCACCACAAAAAGTATGGTGCCACCCCTGCTGCAGCCTTGGGAGCAGCAGACACCACCTGCTTGCAGCCACTGGGCTGTGCCATACCCCTCTCCCCGCCCCTTCCTTAGCCCCAGCCTCATTCCCTCCCTCCCTCACTGCCATGGGAATGCATTGTTATCTGTTTCATTGTAAACTGGGTTCACTTTATGCAAATTCAATTTATGTGCCATTCCCTGGGAATGCATCTACCGTATAAATCGAGGGAAACCTGTATTAGAATTCTAGATGATGCGTCTGTAGAAGACTGGCATTGAGTCTGTAACTTTGACATTGATACCTTTCCCTCCACTTTGAGTTAACTGAGGTGGAGATCAAAGAAAATGAGGAGGAGGACTGACAAGGAACACTGTACACATGAGATGTCTACAGAACTTTAAATAAATAAAAATGGGGTTAAGGTTTCAGGTTGGTTACAGAATGTCTATAGAAATGGGGCCCTGTTTTGCAAACACGAGCTACACTTGAAGTTAAGGGAATTTCCTTGCACAGAGCATGCTTGCAGGGGCTTAGGCCCTTATGAGCACTTAGCATTGAAACTTCATTATCCATAAATAAGCTAGTGTGCTGCTTGTCTCACATTAGCTCTTTGAGAGTTGAAATGAAGTGTGAGCATTGGTAGATTTTTTTTACCACTTTTTAGCCATTGTTTGCCTTCTGTATTTTTCTCAGTTTAGAGAATCAGACAGGTTTCACACTAGGTGCTAGCTGGCATCTCCTGCCAGTTCTTTGGCATTTGTGTTTTGTTTTACACTCCTCAGCAGTGTTGAAATGAAAACACAACCTGCAATGAAACTTCAAAGAGAGAAAAGAAACAATTCACCTAGGGTGAAACTGAGTTGTAATATAAAAGAGTTACAGCAAAAATAGAACTTTGTATAGAGGCAGGACTTCCCTTTATATGCTGTAAGAATTTATAGTGTTTACCTCTCTCCATTGTGGCAGCAGCCCTTTGCTCATGTGAAGCAGCTTCCCCATGAGGCAGTGGCCCCAGGGTGCCTTCCCCAAGAAGCTGATGCTTTTTTTTTTTTTTTTTTTTTGAATGAGAAAGAAACTTGAATAAGCGCTGAAGGTGCCTGCAGTGGGCTATGCTCTGCCACTTGCATCAGGTGTTTGATGCCAGGCTCACTCGCACCAACTTATCCTCGTATCCTTTCTCCCACATCCTCCTTCTGCTGCTGCTTAGATTTCTTGATTATTTTTCCCTCCAATTAAGAAAGAAAGAAAAGAACTTACAAGTGCAGAAGTCTGAAGGGGAGTAGGTTAGAGGTGCCAATCCAGTAGTCCCAAATCTCCATTGAACTTACATGGAGGAGCTACAGCTACTTTTCTCCTGTAGCAGTGAATCATATTGCAAGCCCTACTCATTAGGTCTGATTTGGAGACATGAGTTTCAGCTCCTAAAACTATTCATGCTCTATGTATATAAAGCTTGAATACCCAGACTTTGCATTGATGGAACAGATTCCACCCACTAGGTTTATATGACCCCTTCCCTACTACCCCCCTCCTTTTTTTAATTTTAAATGTTGGCTTTAAAAGTAGCTGGAAGTGCCTTGTTAAAAGTCTGCCTACCTATTTTATTATGCTAAAGATTTTAAAATCATTTTCATCTTCTTGCATTCTCCTGTGATTTCAGTTAATGATGAAAGTGTGTATGTTTTGGTGAGCATGTGAGGCAGAAAATACAATTTGTGATGGTGCAGGAAAAGGTTTTACTAGCATGAGTAATCAATGGTTGCATTAATCACAAGTGGTGAAGCCATGAATGAATAGGTTATCCTAAACAAGAATCTATAACAGCTGATGCAGCATACCAACTTCTTATGTATTTATATGACATATGCATTACTGGGACAATATTCTAGAAATGTTTGAGGTAAAACTTATTATTTGTATGCCTTTGCCAGTAAAGCTAGATGCCTTAGTTGCCCATTAGCTGGATTCTGCAATGCTCTGATATTGCAAAGCTGTCCTGTGGCTGCGTAGAAAGACCCTCAAGTAGCATAACAGCCCTGTAGATAGATCTGTGCTGCCCCTGGTGCTGACCATTGGTATATGAGATGTGGCTGAGAAAAGCAGGCAGTGTGGGTTTCTTATGGCCAGCTTATGGGCCCCCATGCCATTGTCTACACTGTCAGTCAATTTGGGTTGTTGGGAGTTGGGACTGGCCCAACACCTACATGACTTAAGGCTCAAGGAAGCACAGATATGGCTTAGAACTATATTTTCAGCCTTCTCCACTGCCTGCAGCTCAGGGGCCTATGAGTCAAACATAGGCCCCTGAGAGACTCATTAAACTCACACAAATGACCTACAACAGCTTTTTGCTTTACCTTTAAAATATTACCATTTGTTGGTACAATATCCTAGGACTTTGCCTGGTTGGGTGTCTCCCCTTTCCAGAGCACAACTCATAGCCCTCCTTTGGCTCTGCAGGCATTTGAGATGCATTAACTTATTTATTTTTCCCATATAGAAAGCTGTCACTGTTCTGAGACTGAATGATGCCTATTTTGGATCTCTGGCTAATATGCTAAGCATGCAAATATTTGGTTGAAATTTGCTTCATAGTAAATAGAAGAACCACCAACATTGTGTCTGAGGGCTGGCTGTACACCTGAACACAAAGGTGTAGCTTGTGGGGAAAAGAAATAACTTCTGGAACAATATACAGTAACATAGTATCTTCTGAAGGTGCTGGGGGTGGGGGAGGGCAGAGTATAAATGATACATAGAGATGGATTAATGGGAAGAGTACAGGTGAAACAACCAAAGGAGTTTGATATAATCCTCACACATATAACAGAAGTTCATCATAAGATTCCAGAATAAATTACTATATATAGCATCTAGGTGTCAGCTTTCTGTAGGCAGGTGGGTACCACAAGTATAAATAAATGTTATGTGAACAAATCCATGACCACCTGGTGTCCCATGGTGGCAGTGTTTAAGTTCCCATGGAAGTAAGATTTTTTTTTTGTGAGGATGGAGACAGAGCCAATTACCTCCCACCGTTTTAGCTAAAGGAGTGGTTCTCAGCCTTTTTAGACTCAGTGAACCTGATTAGACTCAAGGCACCCCTCTGTAACTTTTGCTTAGTGAGTGGCACCCAATTTCAAAACCTACTGTATTTATTTCAGTGCTTACCTCGGTGCAGAGAGGTCAGACAGTGTGGGTGGGGGAATAGCTAGGCAGGGAGTTGCCCCTGTCTGCTTATCTTTTCACAACTCGCTGTCAGTATATCCTTACACTTCCTGTGGCATCCCAGGGTGTCCTGGCACCCTGGCTAAGAATCAGTAAGCTAACAGACAATCTCTGCCAGCAGGATAGGGCCTATGCCATGCAGTGAAACAGTTATGCTGTCCTCTACCTTGGATCATTGGTACACATACACACTAACCTGTTCATTTCTCTGTCTCTCATATATCACTTGCCCATTTACAAAAGCTTTTAAGTTTGTGCATGATCTTCCTTGCGAGCCAAACATAAGAAGCCTGTTGTACTCAGTGTTAGCTGAGTGCTTACTATATTTTATAGAATCATACAATAACATTTACTTCCCATGACTGTGTTTTGGGATACGTCCCAACAGCTTGGAAATGCTATGATGCATGAAAATCTGGGTTCTGTAGAGCAGAAGTGCGTTTAGCCAAAAGGCTTATGAGGAAAGAGTAGATCACCTTCAGGGACAGAAGGTGATCTGCTTAGACGAAAGAGTAGATCACCTTCAGGGATAGAAACTTGGCACAGTAATTTGTTTGACCTGTCAGCTAATCAGGCAACATTCTTGAGAAGAGGGACGGTAGACACATTTGAAAAGACTTGATCTAGCTTTTTTGAAACACCCCTAGGGCAGGGAAACAAATGTGTACTCCCTCATCTCTTTCTTTGACTCCATCCTTCCCTCCTTGTATCTCCCCTCTTACATCTTTATCTTGTTTGCTGCAACTTTTTTTCTGTTCACCCCTTATGTTGAAAAATTCCTAGATATAAAAAAAAGAGATTTGTTATAACCATTTTAGCCCTTTCTTAATTCAGCTCAGTAGTCCAGAACTGCTGTCCCTACTTCTTTTGACATCTGAATATATAATGAATTATTGATACTTCCATTGTTACTCTGGTTGTCTGAATGATTATAATCAAATCTTTATTCCCTTGTCCCTCATGTTGGTACAAAAGCAGTGTAACTTTATTGATTTCACTTGAATTTCTCCTGATTTGTGTTCTTCTGTTCACACCAAAATCAGGCCTATGTTTCATTTTTTTGAGGGTCAGAGGGATGCCTGAAGGGAAAAAAGACCTTTGAGGTAGTGAAGTTTTGCATGAAAAAAACCTCCACTAATATCAAACCAAACTTTGTGGGTCTGATTCAGACCTTTTTTAGGCCAGATTACACTGGTGTAACTTCATAACTTTAATGGAGTGGCCTCTAAGATGCACTGAAATCAGAACTAGGCACTTTATGAATCTCTTAGCTCATGTTGGATTATTCACTTGCAAAGTCCTAGTTACAGGCAAACCCAGACTTCCTGGAGCTGGGTGACTCTCCTGTCAGTCAACTTTAATGGCACCTCACCTGCTGCAAAACTACTGGCCTCCAAGTTACTTTGCCACCACAAAACTAGGTGTCATGAATATGAAAGTTAAAAGCCTCCCTTCCTCCCTTTCTCTGCCGAAGGATCAGATGACTTGGTCTCAACATGCTAGCCCAGGCGCTTAACTTTAGAAATTGCTTTGTGGGAAAAACAGAAAACAAGCAGGCAGTTGGTTTGGCCACTGTGCATTATGTAACCAGTGCACTGGTTGCAGGAGCTGGATGACTGACATTGAGAAATTCCTAGGGGAGGGGGCTCTGCCCTGGAGTCACTGTTAGCACTAGCATTTCCAAGAAGCCTAAAGAGGAAAATGGCTTTCAAGAAAGGGAAACACATTGGGGAATAATAATGAAAAGCTTCAGGATCTAATGCGGAATCAAATGTCAGTACTCATGTAATTTATTTTCCTGGTGAAATGGCATGCATCCAATCCTGGCACGTGAAGAAGGGGGCATGCCATCTGGGAAATGCAAGGCAGCGACAGCAAGGCAAGGAGACAATGAATGACCCATGCTTTATCCCCTACTCCGCTCTCGCTCTCTCTCTTGCTCTCTCTCTCTGTGCCTCTCTTCTTTAAAGAAACAGTGAGATAACTGCAAAAAGTCTTTCCCTCCTCCCACTCACCCCCCTCACTCAAATTCGGGGCGGTGACAGCCCTGGGAGTGTGAACTGCCCCTTTAAGACCTGCTCGCTCCCAGTTCTACAGAGAGGGAGTGACCTCTGGGCTTTGACAGCTCCCCTAATAACTAGCAGAGCCCGAGCTCCGCCCGCGGCCCCTGATTGGATCGCGGGCCGGTATCCCGCGCTTGGATTGGCTGGCCGCTTCCCCTGAGCGAACCTTTAGAACTCCGAGGCACAATATTCTGTTACATTGTAGCAAAATGGCGACTGTCATTCACAACCCCCTGAAAGCGTAAGTAGGAATCAAAAATGTACATATTCCGCGTGGTTTCAATATGAAAAAAGGCGCCTTTCCGCCGCTCGCTGCCAGCCGGAGCCGCGCGCCTGCAGCCTCCGCGCGGCTCTCCCCGGCTGCCCTCCTCGCTCGCACCCACTCTCTGTTTGTGCCCCGCGCACGGGCGCCCGGCGCTGAAATTAACGAGAAGAAATTGTTATATTTGTCTCCTTAATTGGCCCGGGGGGCTGGAGGGGAGGGAGGCGGGGAGGGTGGCCCCGGCGCTGCCTGGCAGCTCTCCGGGCTGCGCGGACCTGGGAAACGCCGAGATCCCGGAGGACCCGGCGGGGGTGCGTGCACTTGCCAGTGTCCTGCGCCCGCTGTCCGGGCGCCCGGGGCCGGGGAGGAGGCTGGGCTCGGAAGTCGGCTCCGGCGCCGCTCGCGTTCGCGGCGCCGCCGCCCGAGCCAGGACTTTTCTTTCGCAACTGGCGCGGAGTTGGGACGAACTTGGCGGAGCGGGCTGGGAGCGGGCCGCAAGGCCGGCGGCTCAGGTCCCCGGGGCGGGGGCGGGGGCACCGCGGCCGCGCTCCGCCACGGCCGGCCTGACACGAAATGAATGAGCCGGGTCAGGACTGGCCGGGGCAAGGCAGGAAGTGCGGAGCTCTGCTTTGCATGTGAGCGCCTTTCGCTTTGACAGGGGCCCCCGGGGCTCAGCTCGGTTTCCGGCTCGGGAGGGACCCGCGGAGCCCCAGCGTGCCCGGCTCCGGCCACGGGGGAGCCCGGGCGGCTGCTTGCTAGGAAACGAGAGGCGGAGAGTCGGGGACAGGTGCCTGCGCCGCACAAACCCGCGGGGCTGCCCGAGCTCCAAGGAAGGCGGCTTTAAAGCGGGAGGGAGGGAGGGAGGAAGGAGACACAGGAGCAGCCGCCTTGCCCCGGATCGCGTCCCTGCTTTCCCGTCTGCCGCTAATCCCCGACGGCATTAGGGAGAGCGGGGTTCGCCCCGGGCGTGGCGAGGGCAGGGGCTGCCTTAGCCCGGGGGAAACCACTTCCCTGCCCGCTCGCGGCACCTGGCGCGGGCGCCTTGCAGTTTTTAGCGATGCGATTGCGGCGCCCTCGCTACTCCGCTCCCTCGCAGCCGAGTTGGAGACGCAGCCGGGGGCTTTTCCAGGGATTCCCCGCTGCTGTACCCAAGCGAGCTGGAGGGGGGCACGCAGCCGCCGCCTTTACCTCTCTCCATTGTGGCAGCAGCCCTTTGCTCACGTGAAGCAGCCTCCCCATGGGGCAGCGGCCCGGGGCGCCTTCCCCGAGAAGCTGATGCTTTTTTTTCTTTCTTTTTTTTTGAACGAGAAAGAAACCTGAATAAGCGCTGGAGGCGCCCGCAGTGGGCAGTGCTCCGCCACTTGCATCGGGTGCTTGATGCCGGGCTCGCTCACGCCAACTTCTCCCCGTGCCCTTTCTCCCGCAGCCGCCGCCGCCGCCTCCTGCTGCTGCTGCTGCTGCTGCTGCTGCTGCTGCTGCTTAGAGCGCTTGAGTATTTTTTTCCTCCCAATTAAGAAAGACGAGACAAGAAGAGTTAGATCGTGCGCATTCATTGTTGCCAACTTAGGTGCCTGAAAACAATCTCTGACTATACACAATACAGGTTGTTGGGTCTGTCTTTGCCCCTCTCTGCGGGGGGGCCGGGGGGGCGGGGAGCTGAGTTTATTTACACCCTTATGGAAATATGAAGAGTTGGAAGGTTGGGTCTGATTCCCCTTTTGGGAAAGTCATTCAGGCGCCGCTGCTCTTACGGGCGAGCTGCCGAAAAGGGATTTGAACCTTCTTGGAGAGAGAGGGAGAGAGGGAGTGTGCGTGTCCGCGCCGGGCTCCCCTCCTGCTTTCGTGGGGGCCAAATGGGGATAACTCCGCTCGAGCCAATGGAGGAAGCCGGCGGGAGAGTGCAAGAAGAACGGGGGCATGGCACGAAGGTGTCGCCCTTACTGCAAGACATGATTATGGACCGTTAGGTTGCCCCCGGGTATATTTGGGGCGCTCGTTACCTCCACACGGTAATTTCTAACATCAGCTGATCGATCCTGCCAATGTTTTGCGTGCACTTACATTCTTTGGGGGCCTAATCCTGTTGCCACTGAAGTCAGTGGGAGCAGGGTTGGACCCTTTATAATTAGCTCTCCCCCCCTTCCCCTGGGGTGAAAGGAGAGGAAACAATAGGCATCAAGTGCAGGGTTTGCTTTTCTCTGTATGCCTTTTAAAGTACGAACGCTGTGCAGAGGGAGCAGGATTGGAGCAGGCTGTCTGACACCATCTGTCTTTTTTATTAACAACTTGTTTAATAAAACATTTTATAATTTTCATTTATTCTTTAAAGTTGCTGATCAGGAAACAATACACATGTAAATAAATTATGCATGGGATAAATTAGGACAAAAGCAGTAAGACACATAATAGGGGGGAAAGGATGCAGTGCACAGTGTTTTAGCCTCATGTGTCCTTCCTGACAATGAAAGGGAGCTGAATGACATTTGCATTTCCTCCGTCTGCGTTTTGATTGTGTCTCAAAACCCACAGACGCCCCCTACAGAAACTGGCTACACAAAGGTTTTGCTCTGAGATGGGGGACAATGTAGATACTATAGGCTGAAATCGTAGCTCAGGTATCAAAGAATCATAGAAAATGAGGGTTGGAGGGGACCTCAGGAGGTCATTTAATCCACCCCCCTGCTCAAAGCAGAACTGTCCCCAGCTAGATCACCCCAGTCAAGGCTTTGTCTAGCTGGGTCTTAAAAACCTCCACGGATGGAGATCCTATCCTATATATTTTATGCATTTATCTACGAACAGTGTTCTCTCTATGTTCAGCACATAGACACATGGGTTACTCTGTTTATTGGAGGCTAGTCCTTGTGGGATAACATATTCCAGTATAGCTGGATATCTGATGTTGATGCATCACATTGACTATCAATGTACCAGCTCTCTCATTAATGCCCAGCAACTCTTTAAATTACAGTTGTCTCCTTTTCTGTCTAGCTGTCTTTTTCCCCTTGTTTGATCACTCTGGGTGTCTCCTGCTCTTCTGTGCCTTCTTCCTCCCTGTTTCTTCTGTGGTCCGACCCACCTGAAACAACTGTTCGTTGTTTCTGCCGCTTAATGCCTTGTTGTTTGCCAACATAGTTCTAAGGACAGAGATCCTGGTGGTCTGAGTTCACCAGAATGTGTAAAAGGAAGATGGCAGTTGTCTAGGGAAACACACTGCTCTGAATAGGCAGAACAGACACACGCGCTACCAGTGGATAATGGTGGGTTTTAAATTACTATGTCGGTCATATGTTTTCTTTCTGTATCATTCCCTGCAATATGAGCTACAAGATATGGAAGGTACAAATACTGTTAAGTAATATTTTGTATCACTGTTAATGTCAATCAACTCCTTTCAATGTACTTTAGAAACATCAGTGAATTAAATCTCACAGCAACCAGAAAAAAACTTTTCAGCTCACAGAGCAAATCTGTTAGAGCTGAAACTAGAACTCAGCAATCCTACTTTTCAGTCCCTGAACCCAGTTGCACTCCCTCCATCTTTAGTTTAATAGTGATGTACATATGGTGCCATCATGCTTTTAATGTAATTAAGATCTTGTAATTTAAAAAGTCTTATCCAGAAGCAGAGCTGATTCTCTCCCCCCCAACTGTCTTTATCCTAACAGCTGACTTTTATTTCAGGTTGTCAATTAAACACACTAACTGGAGCATATGTTAATTGAGGCGGCGGCCTTTTTTTGCTTGAGACTTGCTCACACTTCAATTCTCAGTCTCGCTGCTCATAAGGAAGAGTGATTTCCTCAGGATAGTTTAAACTCTGGGTTAGCACTGCTGGTGATAACTGTCCTGAAGACATTGAAGAGGGGCCATCAGGATGGTAGGGGTAGTACAGTCTCTCTTACTTGGGTAAGTCAACACTTGTTGAGAATATTGCTATGGTGGATTTTGCACTATGGGCACCTATTTCCTGCTAGAAATCACATAGGTGTTTCATGCAGCCTGTAGGACAGCTCTTGGATGGCAATGACATTTGGTCAGTTGAGACCTAGCCTAAATTCCAGCCTGTGTCTTGGAGCAGAAGGGCTCCACGTTGCCTTAACATTCCTTAAGCCAGCCCCAAATTATGATTAAGTGCTGATGAGGACCTATTTCTTGGATGTTACTACATAGCCTTCTGGTTGCTGATTTTAAATGTTATGCTGAAAGTGTAATGTGCAGTACTTCTTTCAGCAGGGGTTAACAAATAAAAACAAAAGATGGACATTTTGGGCTGTGCTTCAGTTTTGACAAATAGCATGACAGTGATTTGAATGTTACAAAGTTGAGTCATCTTCTGGTAACAAGGTTGTTGCACTCATTAAATTGTTTGATCAAAATCTCTACCAAGTGTCCTGTGTGTTCCTTACATTATTTGAAGTCACTTAAAAACAGAAACACACCCAGGTGTGGTGCCTTTCTGGCCAAAATTGTCGTTGTTATTGAAACTGTTCTTACTATACCACAGTCCTTGCCTTCTGCTGAAATGATAGATGAACGTAGTTATGGTGTGTGTACAGTGAAATATGAAGATAAAAAACAAAATAGATTAGAGGAAAAACAAACAAGAAAACAAAGAAGCCATGCTATGAAGGCCCGAGGATATGCCCATTTAACATGGGAGATTCTGATAAATTATACGTTACTAGTTACAGCATTTTACTTGGTTGCGTGAGTGACTTGTGCATGATTAGTTGTAGTGCTTTTGTAATTTTGTTTTGTCGGCGTTCTGGCTTGTCACAGGCTGTCAGGTTGTATGGACAGCGGAGCTGGCATCAGAAAATTGTCACTGAAAAAAGGTTTTTAAAGCCTATTATTTGTGGCTTTTTTTGAATTTGAAAGCGATGCCAGACATGCTAGGTGATATGGGAAGTATATGGCTATGAAGGCAAAAATCACTGAGTATGTTGGAAGGTGAAAATTTAAGAGTTAGGGGTATG